TGTAACCGGTCAAGATATTTAGAAATAGCATACGATTGTATAATATTAAAATATAGGTATACAATAAACCAATACTCAAATATAATTGAATATACTAGAAAAAATATATATTAGTATAATTCCTTAAAAAAATACTTCACTAACTTTTACATAATGTAAAATAATACTATTTTAGATTTAGGCGAATATCTGACATTTGGTATAAAATTAACTTTTCGGATTTATTCGCATATTTATTTTGATTTTTGTTTCCCGACGTTTCACATGTTTACAGCAGTCATTGTCACAGGAGAGATTAAGGCTTTAGATGTCTCAGAGGCGCTATATAATTGTTAAAGACAGTGTCTACTCACAATATTACAAAATGAATTCAAAAATCAAAAATGGTACCAAAGTATTATACAATATTTTATAAATGAATATGGAAATATTATTTATTTAATGAAATATTTCAAATAGGCTAAGAACATTTAACATCTGATTAATCTTGAATTGAATGAAAAGGCCTCATAATACTTCTTAAGATCTAATTATAGCAGAAAGTATTCACCTTCAAACCGAAATTTATCATTTTGTACTCAATACCTGATTCTATTTATTTCACTCCCAAAAGTATCGGAAATCAATAAGGATTCTCCATATTAACGTTGAGCAGGCTCTCGTAAAGATGCGGACGTGACGATGGTAATTTCCGCTAAAATATATATCGAAATTTACCATTACACCTCCCGGCCTACACGAACATATTTCAAGAAAATATAGAAGGGAGTCCCCTTGTGATTAGAATATCGTTTCATAAAATTGGGTCTAAGTTTTTGATAAGATTTAAAATTACAAATATATTTATATCCATAACTTGATATGGTACTTATAATGTAAACATTGTTGTAACTAATCGCTGAATGAATAATGAAAGTTCAGGTGAGCTTTCTTATTGAATTGCCGATTAATTTATTGAACTGAAAATTAATAACTGATTGATAAGTGTATTCATCAATTATTTATTCTCTATATTAAAAATTATAGAAAAAAGTTCACTCCCCATCTAAACTTAAAATTCTTCATCAGTCAGTAATATTTTTTTTACTAAATTTTAAATTATAATGTAACTAGCAGAATCCGCGGCTTCGCTCGCGCTAAAACTACAGAAAAAACTCTAAGATGGGAGGTTTCATACAAACTTTCATGCGCCATTTTACACCCTTATGGGATGAATTTCGAAAATTCCAAAAGACGTATTTAATTATTTGTACTGAAGAGCATTTATAGCAAGTATGAAGTAATTCTGATCATAAATATTTTTTTTGCATTGTATTATAACGTGTTTTCCCATGGGAAAGAGATAATATCCCGCGGTAAAAAGTAGCCTATGTCACTCTCCAGCCCTCCAACTATCTCCACACAAAAAATCACGCCAATCCGCCAAGCCGTTTCGACGTGAAAAAAAGACAAACAAACAAAAAACACACTTTCACATTTATAATATTAATATGGATTCAAATAAGTATAGCTGTATAATATGTTTAAACATATGTACATCACCAGTTTGATTACCCGTCGGGGTAAATGTTTAGTCATTTCATATTTGACGCTGTTCAGGTGGAAGTACAAACATTAGTTTCTCGTATCGCTTTAACAGCATTAGATTGGGTGGTTTACCGGCGTTATCTGTGTATGATATGTACACGTGATACAGAAGTAATTATTAAAAAAAATGCGAATATTAAATAATATTTATCTAAACTTCTTTAAATTGAAAGGACTTTCTAGGAGCGATAAACTGATGATCCTCATAGAACGTTTATAATGGAAACATTAATTAGTAGAAATTCTTGTCGTTTATTTGAACGCTGACCATATTCCTATCATTACATTATCTTAACTTCATTCCAACATATTATCAGGATTTGTAATTATAATTAAAGTAATCTATACATATAATAAAATTGTAACTAAGTCGAATCTGTACATTAAATATTTTTTTGAAATTTTTATTGAAATAAATATTATTATCGATACAGAGCCCGAATCTATAGTTTTAAGAATTTTTGTCTGTCTGTCTGTCTGTTACCGCTTCACAGAAATAGGGATTTTGGTGAAATTTGGTATGGTGATAGCTAGATATCCGGGTTATCATATAGGACTTTTTACCGCGGTAAAATGTATCATTTCTGAGAAAAAATACAAAAACTGCAATGTAAGAGTATACTAATATATAAAACCTAAGAGTTTGGTTTTTGGTCATCCGAACGCGGGCGGAGCCGCGGGCAGTACTAGTTCATTATAAAGTTATGTAAATATGAGTATGATGATATTAATTCACCATTCACCAATAAATAGGGCTTTTATAATCTATATATAATTAGGTAAAAACAAAACACTTCAGTATCTTCTCTACTGTTTTCCTATCGAGTTTCTTCCTATTTATTCTTGTTTAGTTGCTAAAGACGAGCTTTAATGTTATCAATAAATATTTTTAGATAATTACTTCCTTTTATATTGATAGGTAAATTCTATTCATATGCCTACCACTAGGCGAACACTAGGCAAAAAAAACAATATATTAATGCACGACATATTATTTACTATTTTATCTATTATTTTTATAGTAACAAATTCAACTTTTAAAATTAATAAAAAAAAATATTTTGATTTCCGTAAGAAAGTCTAACTTTAACAAGCCTTCAAGTAAATCGTACTAAACAATACTGAATAGTCTGACCGCCATCACACCGACCGTCCAGTGGCCAAGAGTTGTTCTAACTAGCTCTGAAACCCTGAGAGCAATTAGGCGGAAGAGGAAATTGCATCTCTTGGGGATAAGTCACAAATTGCCCTAAATATCAGCAACATTCCAACTAAAATGACAATTCGCAGTTCCTATTAGTTTTCCGGACCGACAAGTTCAGAAATATTATGACTTGTTCACTGGAGTCAGATGTGAATGGTAATATCTTTTTCTTAGTCCTTTCACGCCTTTATGTTGTTCCTTTGGTCATGCTAACATAATTTATGAACAAATTCTTACTTTAGTGCGATTACATTTGAATAAGCTATTTTTTCGGTATTTCAACAGCAGGTATTTTGGCCAATTTCGACTGATAGCATAAATCAAAGTTTCGTGTAAATGGGCCATTTATTGTTAGTTACAGCGTACAACTCTTAATATTAAGTTTACGCATTATAAAGGGAACGCGGAAATTACGCAAGTTTAAATATAGGTAGGGAAAAATCAGATTGTTTGTTTTAGTTAGCGCTAATAAAACACAATCCGGTAGGGTAAGGTTTTATGAGAATTAGTGGGTCTCTGGTGCCAGGCTTGGCTCGGCACGGGAGGTGTTTTTATTGAAACCATTCCCACATAAGTGGATAAAAGTGCCATCGTTTGAAATATAAGATTCAATTTTTATTTCGAATAAAACAAAAGAAATAGATAAATAATGAAATATAAGTAAATATTTCAATTGTTATAAAGTTTTATAATTTTTTTAAACATTAAGATTTAAGTACTTAGCGTTCTCTTTCTCTCTTTAAGATTCCTAAAAATAAAACTCTAAGAATATTACATAAATTGCCACTTAATTTGTTTTACGTACTTTGCATTTTGTTGGTGATCTTATTACACAGTACACACATATAGTACATACATACATATATACTTACTATATACAATAATACTATTTTATAAAAGAATTCATTTAAAGACACTACATGTTAATGTCAGTTAATAGATAAATCTCAAGCGAAACAAATTCACGAGCTGATATATCGTGCATAATTTATAAAATATAACATAAACCTGAATCTATATAAATAAAAATGAATCACCGAAATGTATGTACACGCACAACTTCCGATCGACTGCACCAAATTGTTTTTTTTTTTATGTCTGTTATTGTTAGGAAAGTTTGGTACAGAGGAAATGAAAAGAAAAAAAAAATTGTACTAAAATAAGATATTTTTAAATCTCATGATATGAAAAGTGAGCGAGTGAACGAGTTTTACCCCGGAAATCATCCCTTAAGGGGGTGAGAATGGGGATGAAAGTGTGTATGTGGAAGCAATCTAGGGACGAACCCGAGCGAAGCGAGGGTAAGTCGCTAGTAAATTATATTACTAAATGATTTGTTTTAATTATGCCTATATAATCAATAAATTTAAACATTTGTAAGAATTGATAAATATATGGGCGTGAAATGATGCTGCCAAAATATCGATCTTCGTTTACAGTGAATGTCAAAACAACTGTACCTAAACGTTTATATATTTATAGAAGACAAATATAATTATGATTTAAATTCTAAATTAACTATGAAAAAGGGTAAAGAAATTACCAAACACTTTTGATGTAAATCGTAATTGGCAAACACAAATCGATCGTTACATGTCATTATTATGCATAATTTTAGAAAAAAATATTGTTATATAAATATCCTAAAAAGGGTCTATATTTTATTTTGTGTAACCAGTTTTTAAATTAAGAGAAATGCGATATAGATATCTACTTTGACAACCAAATCATGAATAGCGGTCTCGTAGAAATGAGGTGGTGTGGATTTAAATGTGCCTTTGCAATATTACGTGTATATCGCATATTTTCTAAACTATTTTCTTAATGTAAGACCGCGTGGACGACATTTTTGGCATATAGCCAGTAACTATTGCTCTTTTCTCTCTCATGACATCTCTTATGAGATAAAATATAACACATTCTTTAAATCGAAATGTACTGAATACATTGTCCGCATTTCTCTGATTCTCGTAAAAATATTACAATATTAGCTTCAGCTCGAAATCGATACTGCTTATTTAAATGAGGCAATTCTATAAGCCATTGATTTATTTATTATAAGTTATAACTAAAACAATTTTAATTAGATAAAAATAGATAAAGCTTTTCTTACCAGTACTTGTAAAAGGCGAGCTTTTGGCTCCCCTTTTAAAAGAACCGGTTCGCCGAGCGTTTACGCGAGTACGGTCCCGGAGAACTAGTGAGCCGCATGATAACTTGCGATGTGATAAATGAAAGTGCATATGTAACTGAAGTTAGAACTACTGTGTTTAAACGGCGCGTCATATACCTGTCGGTATGCGAGCGCAATCCGTGCACAACGCGAGTGGGCGTGGAGAGGCGAGAGCGACCCGCGTCGGCCGCCTGCGAGGAGCGACTGCCGCCCGGGCCGCGCCGCCGCGCCGCACGCCACGCACGCCTGCACCGGCTCACGCACCGCAGCTGCACACAGCCCGGCCACCTGCCACCGCTGCAGCCTCACGCACCGCGGTATCGATGTTCTCGTCGACTCTGCGAGCTGGAGCAGCGAGAGCACAGGCCTGCGGGGGGCTCACGCACTCGCGGGGGGCCGCTCCTGCGCGCTGCGTCACGCATCTGTCTCGACTTCTTGCTCGCCCGCCATCTGCAGAGACGCGGTCTGGGCGCGCCACTCGCCCGTGTCACATTGCTTCGATGTTAATGCCCTACGTGTCACTCACTTTTGACATTCGCTTAGATAACTGAAAGAAATGCGTTTGAGGTGTGATGACAATCATAACATTACTTGGTATTGTTACAATTTTGTCATGTAATTGAAGATGTAATCTATATAATATGTATCGGTTGAGTGATCTGTTGTTTACATTTTATTGCATTGCTTAATGGACCAGTGGTTGTAAGTTCGATGATATTGAGAATTCAGAAGCTGGTCTAGTTTAAATGTGTACTAGATGTACAAAAAAAGTTCATGTTTATATAAATAATGACTTATATAACGTATTTATGAACAAGTGTGGTACAGGTACACTCGAAACTCCTGAATTATTTTATAATAATAATATTCATTCTTTGCGACAGACATTTCAGCAAGAATTATTGCTTAATACTTTCTTAGATTTACGCGAATATTTGACATTTTAAATAAAACTATCTTTTCGGAATATTTCGCGGATTTATTTGGATTTTTGGTTTCCGACGTTTCGAATGCTTTACAGCAATCATGGTCACGGGAGAAACTGGTGTCTCTAAGTGACTAGAGTGTGAGCGCTGATGTTCTTAGCTATAAATCAAGAAAATCCATTCAGCGGTTTGCAATCATCTCTTTTTTAGACGGTAAAAGGATTATTAACAACTTCCACAGATCTGATCCATTCAAAACTTGGTATTCCTTTACTTCAATACGTTGCAACGATATTGTAAACTATCTCTTTACAAGATACTCATCTCTACTAACATAAATACAGTGATATCGTGTTTAGGTTCTTTGAAACGGCCTCAATGAATAGGTTATTGTGTATGCGTTACATACATACGTATCTATCTGTCTTAAAAGCACAACTTTACGTATAAATATTATACAAATAATCAATTATATTACAAAACTAAAACATGGAACTAATTAAAATTTACTTAAATGCTTGTAACAATTGAAAATGGAGCTTTAAAGTGGCTAATGAAATCTAAACCACGTCTGTTTTTAGATAATCACTAAGGCGTTAAACCAATTATAAAACAAAAAAGTTATGAAATTTACGTTCTCGGAATCATTTACTATGTGTACGTAATATGCTATATTTTGCTACTCCGATGGCGGGTTCGATTATGGTAATTACTGTTTGAGATAACCATAATATACCTATGTAGGTATGTATCATCATTGTATGATGTATTATATTCTATGTTCATATACCTATTAAGAGTGCTTCCGATACACAATAAAAATAACTGAGTAACTTATCATTTTCAGTCACTTTTCTAAATTCATGTAAATCATTACAAGCAGAAATGGACAACAGCACCACCCCTACAAAATATATGACGAGAAGTGTATGACACGGTTTTATATTAACCGACTGAAGCTTCATACATTTTGTTCTTTCCCAGTTATAGAATCGCAGTTGCCGTCGCGGGTACCAGTGGCATATGTGGCTAATAAATAAACATTCGTTTCATTTCTGACGACACGTTTGTATTGACCCTACTTTCTGTGCCAGCGGTCGCAGGTTCGAGTCCCGCTGGGGGCATTCATTTGTGTGATGAGCATGAATGTTTGTACTTCAGTCATATTTATAATATTTATGTATTTAAATCTATGTAATATGTGTAGTGTATTAACTATCTGGTATCCATAACACAAGCCTACCATGGAACTAGATGGTGTTGTGTGTTAATGTCCCAACATATTTATTTATTTATAGGTATCATCCTATAAAAATATTAGTTCGGTCCGTATCTTCATGAAAACGTCAATCTTGACGAATAAAATTATTTGGCGCTTCCGATACAGGCGTTAAAAAAGTTATTTTATAAGTTGGATAAATTTCCAGCAAAGAACCTCATTTGTATCAACTATAGTTTTTTACCTTTATATTGGATACAATGGACTACATTATAAATACACATTATTTAAAAATATCAACGGGCTATTTTTTATGATTTAAAAGATTAAAGAAGAAATAATCTGATCATTTTTTTCTTGAATAGGATAAAAAGGTAACATAGTGATTCCACTCTTTATCAAGTTTTTATAAATTAAAAAGTTTTTCAATAAGGTTCGTGACAATCTTCGATCAGTTTCTAAATTTCATTATTTTAGTACAAGCGTTATTAAGAAGTTCAAGAAGTATTATGAAAAAAAGTGAATTGTAGTATATAACTGCATTACAAACAGTCATTGTAATTTCTTTTAAATAAACCTTTACATTTTACTTAAGTATAAAACAATTAGAAAACTTTCTAATCATGTTTTTCCGCAAAGTTTTAGGCGTAAATTTTCATTACACTTAGTAAATATAGTGCTAGTGGACTATAGATTTATCATCAAAAGAGAAGCCAAACCATGCTTTATCCGCTTCACTTGCCGCCATTTCGGCGCCTAGCTCAAGCGCCAGACTCGCTCATTGCCAGCAAAGAATTTTTAACACTCATTGTTAAAATGCAATAATGCATAAGAGACCCATGTGATAAAATTTGGCAACAAAACATTTTTTGTATTTATAAGGCCTAATTAAAAAAAGTTTTTGCAATTAAACTAAAATAAATATAAAGTAATTGTTTCAAAGATGCTTTGCCAAAGTAATTTTATAGGGCACTAGCATCGCCCGCGGCTCGGCCCGCGTTCAGATGACCGAAAACCAAATTCATAGGTTTTACATATTAGTATACTCTTACATTGCAGTTTTTGTATTTTTTCTCAGAAATGAAACATTTTCACACGGTAAAAAGTATCCTATATGTTGACCCGGATAACCAGCTATCACCATACCAAATTTCATCAAAATCCATCCAGTGGTTTTTCTGTGATATTGTAACAGAGGGACAGACAGACAGACAGACAAAAATTCTAAAAACTATAGATTAGGCCTCTGTATCGATAATAATGTTTATTTCAATAAGATTTTCCAAAAAATATTTAATGTACAGATTCGGCTTAGTTACAATTTTATTATATGTATTGATTAGGAGTTATGTAGGAGAACAATTTAATTATCGATCAAAAAACAGCCTAATTGAGGGTTGAATTTAAAAAACACATTTAACCTGTCTGTGCTTAGTTCTAATAATCTATCCACAGTGGAAAGGTACAACATATTTCATTTTGATGTACAGTAAAAATGTTACGTGCTTGTTGTTTTATTTTTGTATGCTGAACACTTTCATTTAAAATAATACTAAAGCATAAATTTTATACATATGTTGGTAAAAAATATTAACATTTATAGTGTATGTATAACAACAAACGTAAAAATACTTTCAACATATTAGATTTACTTCGATTTTTCAATTGAATGAAAAGTAAGTTTGAGAAATACGAAATAGACCATATGAAATAGTCGATAAGTAAATAACAGCAAATATAAACTAATTATATAAACCAAAATTTTGTAATATTTCTTCAATAAAATTTTATTAGAAGCAGATATAAATTCCTGTAAATATGATTTTTATTCCTACATACTTACTCTACTGTCCATATTATTCCGATATTTTACACAAATCTCAATATTAATTTAACAGTAAAGTTAGAAATAATAATAATATCAAACACCACCTTTTAGTTAAAAATTTTTTTTTACTTAAGTAGTTTGGTGCGTGATTAGTTTGAGTTAAGTAAATAAAGTAGGTATTTTTTCGTAAAACTATTTATTATATGTTACTATATAAAAAGTGTACTCGAAATATAATGTATATGACAAATTGATCATCATTTACATTATCAATTAATACATGTCAAGTTTACAAAAACGAAACGAACTTTTATCACGAACACTGAACAACCATCTGATTATTATTCATTGGTATGCATGCTGGAAGTGGTGGTCCTCTATAGCGTAAAGTTAACTGTACAATTCTCTCAGCTTCCCTGACACCACTTATTCTTGCGCCATCGACTGTAGCAAAATGACCAGGAACAGTTGCTTCTCCCGCAAATAAAAGGATAGGAGGAATTGGTTCACTTGGTCCGGGTAAGGGACATGCTAACGCTCTTTGTACCTGACCATCGCTGCATTGACATTCAAAAGAATAAGCTCCATAAAAATATGGATCAGCGGTCCAATGCGACCTTAGTATTGTAACTGGATAAGGAATGTTATTATTTCCTGATGTCGTTCTTAGAAGGCTTGTTATACCTTCAGCTATATCTCTATCACAAAGCCCCTCCATAGTTAAAGCTTCATTTCCAATTACTAAAGCACTTATAACATGTTTACTTGTAGGTACAGCTTGTATTTCACTAACACCACGCGTCCAGTCAGTACGATTAACCAAGCTATTAGGATTGAATTTAAAATTTAATTCACCTTTATGCCAATACCAAAATGGCCGACAGTATTCTAAAAAAATTTTATTGCAATATCCAAATCCTAAACACCTCAGAGCATCTATTTTAGAAGCTGGCAATGCTGGGCAAAACATTCGTGCAGAATTAGCTGCTAACACACCTATAGATACTGTAGTTATGACATAGTCAGCAGGAAATTCTTCGCCATCTGTAGTGCATACTGTGGCACGATATCCAGATTTTTGGCAAGTGCCCCAGTAAACACAATTAACTGGCTTGCAATAGCGAATTGCACCTTCTGGAATCTGTCTTAATAAAGGTGCCAAAATACCAGTCAATCCTAGTGGCACACGTACCTCACCTCCAGGCATATTCATAAAACACCCTGAATGATCAGCGCATAGCATTGAAGTATCATCAGCACATCGGGCACGTAACATATGGGTTAGGCCAAACATTATCCTGGCTGCATCATGTTGCTGTTCCTCTGGATATTCATGAAGCTCCTGTTGAATTCGAAGACTCATAAAATTTATTAATGAACCGTGTTGCTTATTTCCACCGAGGCAGAAAATTTTAGCTGCCTCTTCTTCAATTTGGCGAAATTTATAATACGCAGTAACCGCAGGGGGAAATGCCATTTTTCCAGTTACTACTTTATTAAATAGGCCGCGCGAATTTTCAACGCCAGGCAAGCCAGGTTTAGGTGGGTTTTCCTTCGCTGACATAGTGTAAACTGGATGTTTGGTAACATTCTCTGATTTTCCACTAGAACCTAATTCTGCTACTATATCACCCAACCAACAAGAATGTATTCGACCGCCTGGCCTAAAAAGTAAAAATATAGACAATCAAACTATACTAATCTATATTGTATGTATTCGCCACCAAAGATATTATTGTTCAAATAGTTGAGTATTTTTTATTACCACATTTGACTGATTTTTTTTACGAATAAATAGTTATTTTTATGAAATGATTTCAAAACCTTTCATATGCCTCCAAAACGACAATATTATTAATGCCTCGCTGTGAAAGCCTAGCTGCAGCTGAGAGGCCCGCCATACCAGCTCCAATTATCACAACTCGAGGCTCAGCAAAAGACTTGTCAGGATCGCAAGGATCGACAGCACAAATTCCACGATCTTCCAGGTCGGGGCCGCATTCGACTAGAGCAGAGGCTTTGTCGGAACTCCTACAAGAAGTTAATATGCAACTAAAAGAATTAATTTTTTGGACATTCATGGAACAATAGATAAATGTATTTTACCATCTTGCTGCTATCCTCAGCCATTTAAGTTTATAGAGATTTCCTTTACTAAAAATTTTCATAAGTGTAAAACTCAGTAATTGAACAGAATTTTTTTGTTTGTCAACGTCAAAATTAAGTCATTGTTTCTTTTTCTTCTATCGATCTAAATAAGTATTTTATTTTTTCAATGCTCGTCCCAAGTTATTCAAGGAGTTTTTGTTGAATTCACGTATACATTAAATTTATGACTAATACTAAATATACAATACATTGCGACTTAATATATTGCTAATAACATCTTTTTTCGAGAAAGGTCGATAAATAAGCCCAATGAATTGTATTTTTTAAAAGTTTCTAGTACAAAATATCCAACCGTTTTTTTTAAATGTTGGTAAATGCATTTACGCATACCACCTGTGGACAAACAGGTGGTTATGTGGGACTCGCTAACTAGTAAAGCCTGTACTACTCACTAAAACAAAACAAAACGTAACTAACCTAACCCAATCCGTCTTAACGGAGTGTCACAGCATTGCTTACGCATTCAACCACGACGCCCCAACGGCAGGTTTGCCAAAGCAGACCACAACAACCATGAGGTTGCTCCAACGGTCCACTCTGCCGTCAGAGAAGTACTAGGAGCCACCCTCATGGTACATCGCCCACCGCAGTGGACCACCTCCCTGTGCGTTTCTTGGCTTCGCACCCGGCTGAACTGTCGGAAGCTAATGAGCCCCTCCACGACGACAAGGTGTACGCCGGTTACAAAATATCCAACCTACGATATATCTCTCTAAGCCCGATAGTGTAATTAAGATGCACCTTCTTTATATTCACCTTCAGCTATGCACCTTCTTTATATTGTTTCAGCTAATTTGCTATTTACACACAGGTACTTATTTTATAATCATTATTATGTATAATAAGATAATTTTTATAGTTATTCCCATGTTTTTGTTGCCATTCATAAAACTTAGGGAGAATTATATTAGAAATATATTAGAACTCGTATTTCAACTTTAGGTACTCTTCAACTTCTATTTTCTCATAAAGATGTACTTATACATATTATTATGGAGGAGCATGTCACATCAACTTCTCATCGTAATGGCAGTCATACGTAATATTAAAGAAATTACATTGAGTTCCAAACTAAAAAATGTCTTACTATAATACACAGAACTAATAATATAATAAAAATATAATAACCACCTTAAAACAAGGTTAAAATGAACAATAAAACTTCAAGTTGTAAACAAAATATTGTCGTTTAATACTTTAGTTTAAATATTATATTGAAAGGTAGGTCAGTATTTATATTTATTTTTATCATAGACATAGTGATAAAGAGAAATTCTTCAGATGAGGTTACAAAGCGAATTTTTATCCTTTTTTTATTCAAAGACATACATATATGTATCATACACTCATACTGTAACTATTGAAATTTGACATCATAATTTTTTAATATTCTACGTCCGAACGCTATGCCGAAACCACTATGTCTATGATAATAATAAAATTAACTTTGCACACAAACATTCCACTTGCAGTAATTTAGGATGCGATATAATTGAACTGATGTAGCTTGTTTTACAAATTAGTTAAAATACAGTAGATAATATTATGTACCTAATTAAATGATAACACCAATTAGCACGTATTTGTTGCGAATTGAAAAACTTATAATTTAAGTAGTGACTCACCTTCGATTCAATCGGGTTTGTCCCTATGTACGTTTTAACAGTTAGTATAGAATAGATTGTCTATATATTATATACATATATAATATATATACTATATAGTATATATACATAGGTACATAGGTATGATGAGTTGTTGTGGGTTGTATTATAACGTGATTTCCCGCGGGAATGAGATAATCTCCGGTGGTAAAAAGTAGCCCTTGTCACTCTCCAGCTCTCTTATACTACGTCCACATAGTCAAAAAATAAAATCATGCCAATGCGTCACTTTGTTTTGACGTGAAAGAAAGACGAACAAAAGAAACAAACACACTTTATCATTTATAATATTAGAATTGATGTAAGTTTTATTAAATATACCTAAGAGTTCGTCTATTTACTAGCGCGTTACAATTCTTGTTTGTCAATTCATTTTATTACAATATTTCATATAAACCATTTTAATAGGGTCACAAGCTAAAATGGCTATAAATCACAGTCTTTCATTGTACCAAAGTAAGTAATACTTTCATTATAATTTAAAACACTCTGACCAAAAGTGATCTAACATGTGGTAAAAGTGTCGACTCACACCTCGCAAAGAATGGTTTTCGTCAGTGTAACTCTGCAACAAAAGATAAGTGTATTTAACCAATGATTTTATAATATAGGTACCTATAATATGATATTATTATTGCACTAAACTGTAATGTAAAAATATTAAATTGATAATTTTTCTGTTGCCTTTAAAAAGGTAAATAATATTAGAAAGTTAGAAACAAATCCGCGAGCCGAAAGGAAAATTGCTAAAATATACGAGTACATTGCAGTACAAAAACATTTATGCATTTGTGTATGCAAATAAAGTCACAATAGCCAAATCATGGTTAAATTGACTTGCGATGGAAATGCTTTAAATTAACTGTTGGTATCGTTTGTCCTAATATCGTTGGGTTTAATATTTATGTTTGTTAACAATTTGTTATTTTTTATTAGTAAGCTTGTAATGAGAGGAACAAGATTAAGAATTAATATATAGAAGGGAGCTTTAATATGACCAATGACAGAGAATTCTGAGGAATTGTAGGTAAGTGTGGTATGGATAATTCATTAGGAGGGAAGAAAGTCATAATACAAGAGAGTATTAGGTATGGGTAGACTGAAGAATATAGAGGTAGTAGACTGCATTAAAGAGGATATGTGTGAAACATATGTGCTTAGATAATTACTGAGAAAGGGAAATGGAACAAGAAAATATGGTGTGATGGTCCTATGTAGCGTGGATAAGTACAATGAGAAGAAAAATTTAACTAACGACTCGCCCTAGCTTTATGTGGGTATAAAGTGACGACTAATATGACTTGAGTATGTTAAAAGCTTCGCAAGTCAATAACTCAGTAAAAATCATCGTAATCAGATTGAAAGTAGTGTACATAAAAATACAAGAGAATATTTTAAATCTAATAAAAATATTTTTGTAAGTACGAGTATGTAATATAAACTCTTACCATTTGCTCAAATTCTATATCGGCTCTCTGTAGCGTTTTAGCCAGCTGCATACTGTGCTGGTAGTGCACATTGTCGTCGCCAGTGCCGTGTATTAGCAGGTAGCGTCGGCCGCGTAGCTTCTCTGCCGCAACCATCAGATCTGAGGCTTCATATCCTGAAGGATTGTTTTGAGGCGTGTCCATGTACCTCTCGGTATATATAGTATCTGTAAAATAAAGTAGTGTCTTAAATTGTCCATATGAACTTTCCTTTTGGTGTAATAGAAAGAATAAGTGCCTATAGGTGCCTCTTAAAGCCAGGCCTCTTTGATCTGTACGTATACTGGATAAAGACTGTTTATTAGAAGAGTTTGGGATTTATTAACATACATATGTATGTATATTCAAATTACTGGGAAGAAAATCAACAACATTCAATAAGATATCAAAGAACTTGAAGTAAAAGCAAGCGGTGCGATCGGCTGTTACCCATATGTTTATAAACTGACAAAATAACTTTTGATAGAAGAGAGAGAGAAGCTAAATCCGCTACTGCCCGTTAGCTTAGTATTCTATTTGTCTATTTCAACAGAAGTACTAGGTTTGACTATAGAATGAAATAAGTAAATTTATTGATTTAACACAAAATTCTCCTTCCTCATAAAATCAGATAAATTTTTTCACCAAAATAAATTTCAAATACAAAAAAAATACAAAGAATTTGTCTTTTTACACGCTAATTAATCGAGCACTACAGGTTACATTATTCTTTTTTTAGTATAAAAAAAAGTTATCTGACTATATTCCAATATTATATAGACGAACGCGCTATATTTTAGGGTATATTAAGGTAGGTCGCTAATTTTATATATTATACAGCTAAAAATAATCTACTTCTTCAGAATAGGGATCAGGATATATAATGTAATAAAAGACGGAGTTGAAGATGTCTTAATTACCATAGTAAAGCCAAGATGTGACTGGGGCAACAGCAGCAGCACAAGCCAGTGTCTTCTCCTCATCTTTGATTAAACTCATGGTGCTCGCGTACCCACCATAACTCCAGCCCCATATACCAATTCGATCAGGGTCGATAAATTGGTATGTTTTAATCAGTTTCCTGTAAAAAAATATTAATATTATTTGTATCTCTTTGGAATTTATGGGCTTGAAGAAGCCTGGTCCTTTGGAAGTCTTTAAAAATTATAACTGCTTAGTACAATTAATTTACGAATTTCTTATCAAATGTGCCTGTTATCATTATTGCTTTTAATTGAAAATTGCATAGGTATATATATTTCACTCATATCGGTTTTACAACTATGACTATTAACAATCAAATAGTACCTGATAGCAGCTAAAGTATCTGTAATTTCAACAGTCCCTAGAGCATTGTTGAGCGCGTGCATTGCCTCTACTCCCATCGCGCCAGATCCCCTTACATCGATTGACGCCACTATGAAGCTGCGATTGCTGCTCAAATACGTGTTGTAGTATTCTTAAACAATACATAAATCAAAAAAATATATATTTATTTCATATATAGTTAGATTTTTCTGCACATTCTCACAGAAAATTTTACTTTCTAAAATAATCAAATTAACTTAAATACGATTTATTATATTATAACTTTGATTATGGATTACCTAAAATTATATAACTATTACTAAGTACTAATTGGTAGTAGAGAATATTATAAATTAATAAAACTTACCCAGGTCGTAACTATCCCTAACTCTAGTCGTTCCGGGACCGGCGTACAATCTCACGATCATAGGATACTGCTTCCCCGGTTTCATTTCCGGGGGCAAAAGTAACTTGACATGTGCCTTTAAGTCCTCTTCTAAAGTTACCACGTTGAACAAAACCATAGGTAACTTGTAATGACTCAACCTATCTAATAATCTTGCATTCTCTGTTAAAAGTTTGAAGGTTTTCGTCTGTAAAAGGAACATTTACTTTTACAGGTTTAATATATTTCATATATATATATATATATATATATATATATATATACATGAATTATTAAAAAAACATAGATAGAAAATATACTATATAAGTGCTTTATTTGTTATTAAGTAATTTACCTGACCAATAAAGAAGTAAGTTACTGGAGGAATGTTTATAGCGCTACAAGAAACGATCCCATAACTACCACCAGGTGAAAATATGCCATCAACATAATTACATCCCGGCATGTTACAAGAAATGCATTTCATTTTTCCTTCTGTTGTTGCCCATAACTGTCTTTTCCACGGCTCCGTTCCCGGTGATATTATGTAATAAACAGTATCTGTCTCTTGATCCCAACCCAAAATCTCAGTTACAGTTGAGTTTCCAGGACTAAGATCTTCAGTTTTCATAGTATTGAAATCAAAACGTGCCAAGTGCATAAATCTCTGTTCTTTGTGGGGCAGTGGTCGAACTTCCAACATTTGTGAACCGGTTGAATCAAAAAATGGTGTAGCAATATCAATCCATCCATTGGGCTCAGTCTCTTGCTTTAAGATTGTGCACTTGTCTAAATTTAAATCACAATTAACTAAAACGCTAACGCTCTGTCTTCTATTGAGCCACAACACAACAAGATTTTGATCAGTAGCCCAGTTCACTCTTCCCAATATATGATCCAAACCAATTATGTCTACTGGCGCTGGTATGGTCATCATATCAATGTTTGACTCATTAAGTTTAAATACACGCAGTCCTACTACAGGATTAGTGCGACCTGCCTGACAAATTAAATATATTTTTAAATCTTTCCAAAATACTAAACAATATGAAGATTTGATATTTTGAACCAACCTTAGGATATTTAAAATGAACCAAAATGGGATATTGATTATCAATTTCGGAAGGTTCTCCGTAGTACGGGTATACAGCCGATTCCACTTGGGTATCATTAAAGGAAGCAACAGCCAAATAGGTTCCGTTAGGCGAAAACCAAGTCGCTTCCGCTGCATTAAACACTTCCTCTGAAATTCAAGTAATATTAACTTAATGTCTTCATTACAATACAAACAATACAAAGTTATGATTTTAATCTTAATTGAATAGATACAATAGGTTCATTGAAACGACTTTTACCCTCATATATCCAATCAGTAACTCCATGGTATATGTTGCCTAAAATTCCATCAGTAGTAAGTGGTGTAACATCAGCAGGATTAGAGACATCGGGCACGTAATATACGTTATTGTCTTGCACGTAGGCAAGCGCGTGGTCGTTGCCCCAGATAACCACTTGAAGCGAACCATTGCCTATGCTTACAATGGACCTAAAAGATAAACATAATGACAATATCCAATCATATTATCTCACGTAACATCTTATTATCTCGTGTAAAATAGCAAGTAAGTTTGAAATAATAATATTTTTATTATTATTCTAGTTATCCAATACATTTAATGAAGATATTTCATTAGATGATGAAAGTATTGAACAATTAACAAAGATCATTCAATACCCCTATTGTGTAAACTATAATGTTAACGATGTTTTTTGTATTAGAAAATTTTCTATCGACACACTGAGGGATCAACTGGAATACAATTGGTATCGAGGCTTTTGCTAACATTGAATTAAATCTATACGTATAATAAAATTCTAAATAAGCCGAATCTGTACATTAAATATTTTTTTGAAAAATCTTATTGAAATAAACATTATTATGGATACAGAGGTGGAACCTATAGTTTTTAGAATTTTTGTCTATCTGTCTGTTACCGCATCACAAAAAAACCACTGGAGGGATTTTGATGAAATTTAGTATGATGATGGCTGGTTATCCGGGTTAACATATAGGATATTTTTTACTGCGGAAAAATGTCTGATTTCGGAGAAAATATACTAAAACTGCAATGTAAGAATATGCTAATATGAAAAGCCTAAGAATTTGGTTTTTGGTGATCAGAACGCGGGCGAGCCGAGAATGCTAGTAAATTAATAAAGTAATAGAATCTAAATATGTTAATTTCGATTGACATGTGGGCATACTTTTTATTAGACGATATACTTAAAACTATAATTCTTTATTTACAATAATGAAAATTACAAATATACTTATTATCTTTTGTATAAAAATAATGTGCCTCAATAATAAATAAATTGGACAATAAGAATGTATGTATGTAATAATCAATAAAAATAAATTTTATTTCTACTCTACACAAAAAAGTTATTAATATTATTTTCTTCATCAAGGTATCTATTGCATAGCAAGTGACACATAGCTTGCGTTTTTTTCTTAGTATATTATACATATTATGTATATATGTATTCAATCTAGAATTCATCACATAATATGATTAGCCAAACCTATATAATACCGTTTCGATAATCGAATCAAAATTTTAAACATATAACCAAATTTTCACAGTGAATGGTAATTTTTGATTAAAAGATTTAAAAGTTACTTAAAGGCTGACAATTATTGTAATGAAAGTCAAATGTTTATAATTTCCCTATTTATGAATTTATACTTACTTATTTTCAAGGTTGTACACCGAGTATTCTGCCAAGGTTGAATATCGATACACCTGAAAAATGATATTTTAATGTTAATTAATTAGCTAAGGTCTTGAAAATGCACCGTGTCGCAATTTTATCACGAATTTTCTTAATTTTTGCTATTATTACAACATAACGTTTGTAAAGTTTTTCCTAGCCAGGACTAAATTATAGTGACTAATAATACCTCGGGAAATTCCTAAGGAGGGTTGACGTCAGGCAGGTGGGCGGTCGTAAAATTTTTGCCAAATCCCTTCAGCAGTACAGAAGATGTACTGCGCCGACCCCAAGTGATTGGGAAATGGGCAGGGAGAAGAAGAATAACACCGCGGGACACATGCTTTCAACGAGAGTACATTCAGAGACAGATATTAATGTGATTTAACTTAACCAGATCCTTTCTAAAATAATTAATTAAGCTCCTGAACTTATAAGTATAAGTAATTTTTTTTTTGAGTTTATTTACGATCCCCAACAAAAGATACACACAATATACAACATCATACAAAAACAAAAAGCAAATCAGACTCACAACACGTGTGCTCCTTCACTTATAGGAGACCACAGCTCGCTCTTTAATGTATTATAAGTTATAACTAAGTTTAAACTAAGAAAAAATTAAGGTAGGTACATTTCGAGAAACAAAAAAGTCTTGATATTATAAGCACGGTAATGTAATATGTAATATTACCGTGTTATAAGTACGTCAAAATGACGTACTTATAATATCGAGTCTTTCGGCAAACATAACTTTTTTTTTTATGTCGGGAAATGCATTTACGCATACCACCTGATCCCCCAGGTGGTGATGTGGGGCTCACCGGCTAGAAGAGCCGATACTACCCACTAAAACCCGACATTCCCCTCCCCTCCGCCTTAATGGGACGCCGCAGGATCGCTTGCGCATAACTACTACGTCGTCAAACATAACTAAGTTCACCTGTGGTCAACAACAATAACGACTAAATAAAAAACTTTATTGAAAAATGCCAATAATTGTATGTCATAAAGCTTTAAACCGTTACATTCAGTGGTCAGTTTTCTTATCTACTGACCATTTATAACAGATTGATTTATAGAAGTGAACTCCCACAGCTCGTAAATATTTTGTTAGATTTCATCTTCATTGTCCTTTCTTTGAGATTTTTCTTGCAGGAATAATTTATGGCAGTGAGAATTTGAATATGGTGTTTCAAACATGTTTTGCTAAACGAGATTAGATAAAACTTATATCAACCAGACCTTTTCCCTTTTAAGCTAAAAAAACATCATCTCTGTTCTGGATATTATCGTATTTTATCTAACCAACGAAAATAAAAGAAGGTTCTCAATTTGACACGTATATTTTATGTTTTTTTTTATGTTTGACCACGCATAACTTTTTACCGTATATTTAAATTGCGATTATTCTTTTTTATTAATCTCATCTCATTATTTTTCGTAAACGTTTCGTCGACTTAACTATTATTTAGTGGTACAGATTAGAAACCTATCTACCAAATTTTCTGCTAGATAATACTAATCATCCCCGAGTATAAGGATTGTGATATACCAAAAACAAAAAATCTAAATAAAACCGCGACAAAATCCGAAATGTATATTATATTATTATAGTACCTACTTAGTCATTTTAAATTAGTTTAAAACATAGATTTTATATCCTTGTTTACAATTTTAACAAAGATCAAAGTCAAACCAATAATGTTGTATAATTTATAGCTATTTAAGTTAGTAACTTACCTTTTTCTTATTCGTAATAAGGAGTAAATATTTCTGGTCATTTGAAAAGGACGAAACGGAGAAACGGCTTAAATTGTCCTGCAAAAATTTTATACTTGATTATTAGATAACTAGGTAGGTAGGTTTCATACAAACTTTCATCCTCTCTTTTACCCCCTTATGGGATGAATTTCGAAAAATGCTAAAACACGCATTCATTTAATTGTATTGAAGAGCATTAATATCAAGTTTCAAGTAATTCTGATCATATTTTTTTGGGTTGTATTATAACGTGTTTTCCCGTGGGAATAAGATATTCTTCCGCAATATAAAGTAGCCTATGTTACTCTCCAGCCCTCTAACTGTCACACAAAAATAACACACAAAAATTTACGCTAATCCTACACTCTGTTTCGACGAGAAAGAAGAACAAACAAACACACTTTCACATTTAAGTTTAATAGTAAAAGATTTTCAGACTCATTTAGTGCTACATACTTACTAATTCAGATTGATCGAGGATGGTAGAAAAATTATCAGTTACGGCATCGTATTTATTTATCGATCCTGGTTCCACTATTAAATACTCCGTATCTAGAAAGAAGTGAGTAAATATAAACATAAACTACATATGAACTTAAATATTTTAATGTAAATATGTACTATTATTATCAGTCAAAAATAACTTTCTCTATTAAAATATGGCTTTTAATTTGAAACTAATTTATAATTAAAAAAAAGAAATAGGATAAAAGGTTCTCTGAATGTAAATATTTGATATACACGAATGAATAATTAATATACACGTCGCACAGTGTCGTCGCGTCATACAGTGTTTACATTTAATTGGCATATTTGATAAAAAAATCAGAAACACTTATTATAGCATTCGATTTTTAATTGTCAATGAATTTTAAATTAAAGTTAACTTCATAATTCAAATTTTATGCAAACTATAAATAACTACCAAAATATTCTATACCTAATAGAATGCATATCCCTATAGAGCCATAAAATTAAAATTTTTGATAAAAAATAATTTGCATAAGTTATACTAACATATTATACGCAGAAGATAAAGCTTTCTCACCTGATATCCAATCGGCAGATACTCGCAAAGGGAAGAAATCAGGCTGCAAAGGCACCAGTTCTTCTAAAGTAAAGGTCTTCAGAAAATTTTGTGGGGATACAACAGTATCTGCCAGACCACAAAAGAAAGCTAGGACGAGTGTAAACAATGGTCGCATCTGAAATATAAAATAATATATAAAAAATAAATTACTTACCGAACATTGAGAAGTATAAGCCTACTAAAAATATTAGGTAAACATGAGTTAAAAGTTTATGTATGTATATATTATTTCGGCGCGTATTTATTTTTTTGAATTTAGTAAAAGTATAGGTAAATTGATTTAAGGGTTTGATTTATATCTATAGTCTTTATATCATTAAAATCGATCCACTATTAGAAGGAACTTTACTAATATTGTATTGCGTGGACTGTGGTGCTAGCGGGAGTAATTTAAATTCAAATCAAATATAATATTATATAATAAATTAATTATATCATAATAATTATTATATAATAAATTAAAGATAATGTTAATAAAAAATATTACATAATTACTTTCAAGCATGAATCGTAAAATTCTATTTATATTTAAAACGTCGTTAAGTACCTTTTGACGAATGGAATAGATATACATTTTCCAGCCCTTCGACTATCTTCACACAAAAAAACACGCTAATCTGTCTCTCTGTTTCGAAGTGAAAGAAGGACAAACAAACAAATAAAGTCAAAGTCAAACAGTATATCGTAGAAGTAAAAGTGTTAAATCTACAAATACATTCAAATAATTTATATCTAATATTATAAAGAGGTAAAGTTTGTGAGTTTGTGACGTTGTAGGGGGTAATCTCTGGATCTACTGAACCGATTTTGAAAGTTCTCTTACCAATAGAAAGCTACGCTATTTCTGAGTGTCATAGGCTATATAATAACCCGAAGAATGAAAAGACTTTTTCATAGTAGTCGGATTTGCAAAGTACGATACGCCAGTTTGTGTAGAACGTTGTGAGATAATGTTCTAGAGAAAAGTTGTATAGCTTAATAATGCCTACAAAAAAGTCAGCGACAGCATATGTCTAACTTTTATATTTAAGTCACAAAAAGTAGTTTTTTTATATTAAAAATAATTTAAATCGGTAGGTCATGTTTATTGGTCATATTATCAACAATTATGAATTCTTATCAAAATAAGTAAATTTATCGTCTAAAATGTTTTGAACAAAAGACTTTTCCCTTTTACTGCATATAATTTGGACAGAGATAATACGACATACTCAGGTGGGTATGGAACCGCGATCGTGTCGTAATCTATTGAGTAATAATTCTACAAGATGGGTTTTTTCATATACAATACGTCAATCTACCTATGTATACTAATATTATAAAGAAGTAATGTTTGTGAGTTTGTGACGTTGTTGGGATTGGTCTCTGGATCTACTAAAACAATTTAGAAGAAATTTGGTAGGAAGATAGTTTGAGACCCTTTTTTTTTTTTTTATGTCGAGAAATGCATTTACGCATACCACCTGATGCCCCAGGTGGTGATGTGGGGCTCACCGGCTAGAAGAGCCGGTACTACCCACTAAAACCCGACATTCCCCTCCCCTCCGCCTTAATGGGACGCCGCAGGATCGCTTGCGCATAACTACTACGGCGCCCCGGCGGCAGGTCTGCCTAAAAAGGCAGACCACCAAACCAATGGGGCTGCTCCACAGTCAACTCTGCTACGCCAGAGAGGTACCCGGAGCAGCCCCATTAAACCTAACCACCGCCCACCGAAGTGGGCCACCTCCAATCGGCTGCAGAGGACAGGGAGAGCGGCAACGAAACACCGACACTCCTCTTCCCCTGCAGCCCCACCGCGTCCGCCATCAAACGGTGGCGGCCCCGTCTAGGCCGCGGAAGGTAGGGAGAACGGCGCACCGAAATACCGGCACTCCTCTCCCGCCGCGGCCTACTCCTCCGCCGGATGCGGGCCTGCGACCACAGTCCCGCAACCGGCACCCATCATCCGGTTGTGGGACCAAACGGTCCCACCACCGGTGGCCGCAACGTCTTCGGCTCGAGGCCTAGACGAGCGGCCCCACCCAAGCCATTTGGTCCGCACCGGATTTCTCCGGTACCACCCACCGATAGTTTGAGACCCTGGGAAGAACATAGGATACTTTTTATCCCGGAAATCATCTCTTAAGGGGGTGAAAAAGGGGATGAAAGTTTGTATGGGGAAGCAAGCTAGGGACGAACCCGAGCGAAGCGAGGGTGACTCGCTTGTTAATTATAAAATTGTATTCATAATTATAAAGTAGTAGTAAGGAAAAAGAAAAATGTGATTTTACGTTTTTCCGTAAAATATTTCTAATTGTTTTCTTCATAAAAACCTTCCTCGGGTTTCAACGAATATTTGCCGAATTGGTCCAGCCGTTCTCGACTTATGCGCTTAGCAACATATTTAGCCATTCATTTTTTATTTATATACGAGTATTTATATACTAGCGACTCACCATCGCTTCCCTCGGTTCGTCTCTAGCTTTTTTTTTATATACCACGCCGGTGGCAATCAGGCATGCGGCCCGCCTGATGGTAAGCGGTTACCGCAGCCTATGGATGCCTGCAACACCTGGGGCATCACATGCGCGTTGCCGACCCTTTAAAAACCTATTTACTTCCCTTTTGAAGGACCCCATACTGTAGCCCTCTGGGAAAACCTCGACAGGGAGTTCATTCCACAGCGAGATGGTCCGTGGGAGAAAATTCCTCTGAAACCGAACTGTACGGGACCATTTGGGCTGCAATGTGTGAGCATGAACTCGCTGTCGATGGCGAGCGGTGCAGTGATAGAAAGTGGCCGTAGGCATCATTTCGAACAATTCTTCGGAACACAACCCATTGTACAAACGATAGAGCACACATAGGGACGCAAAATCTCTTCTTAGACTTAGGGGCTCTATATCGCTTGTGAGTATTGGAACGTCGACAATTCTCACAGCTCTCCTCTGAACCGAGTCAAAAGGCCCAAGCAATGACTATATATTACTGACTATATATATATATATATATATATATGACTATATATGACTATATATTCAATGACTCACTTTTCATATTATGAGATTAAATAAAAAAACCTTATTTTAGTAAAAAAAAATTCTTTTAATTTCCTTCTATACAATTCGATAAATTTTGATTCGGTTTTAGGATTTCTTTAATAGCTATCAAAAGGTAAATACCAACAGTTGTCGCTTGTCTTCGTTGGGTACATATTTGGTGTCGGTGTCTAACCCGAGCTATGATCAGTTGAACTCGAGCTGATTCAACGTGACGCTAACCCGGGTTAACCCGAGTTGGCAAACCAGGTTGACGCATCACTAAACTACATAACTATATTATTTTGATAGATTATCCGTTATTGTATTATTAGTCTATTAGAATTTTAGATCGTTTTGGTTTGCTTAAAAAAAGTATTTGTCTTACAATTAGTCATTTATTAGTATTTAAAATTTTGTTTTAACGTCATTTATTAAGTTTCAATAATATTTTTTACGTAACAGGTTTTGTTGTATAATTTATGAAATATCGTTTACAGAGAACTATTTCCTAAAGACAAGTAATATCCCTAAGCTGCACTTCTCACTAGAAAAAAACACCAGGTAAGGAGGTGTTGCGCCTTTCTCATGTTTTAATCAAACTAACAGTTAAACTAACTAGCAGTTTATCAAACTAACTGTTAAACTAAGTGGCAGTTAATCAAACTAAGAGTTACTCTATCTGATAGTTAAACTTACTCATAGTTAAACTAACTGGTGGTTATACTAATAGACAGTTAAACTAACTGATAGTTATATTAACTGACAATTAGTCTTACTAGCCGTTAACCAAACTGACGGTTAATCTAACTGACAGTTAACCTTACTGCGCTAAACTTATCGCGCTCACGCACTCTCCTCGCGTAAACTCAGCGTCACAAAGGTACAACTTCTGAATAACACGACACCAGGGCGATGTCGCACTTTCGCTGAGAATCGGGCATATACTGATTACTTAAGCGACATAAAGAACATTTTCAATGTTAAAATATTAAGTTATGTTCTCTATCTAGTTGGCAGTTTTTGTTAGATGGATTAAAATTTTCGTATGTATGTAAAACTTAATGTTAGTATAAGTTAAAATTTTCGTGTGCATGTAAAACTTAATACTAGTATAAGTTATTAAATGTTTGATTGTATACCTACATAATAATTGTAACGTGTAACTCAAATGAAATTAAAAAAAATTAAATGAATTTAAAATTGTACTGTAACTAATTGGAATTGTTATAATTGTATAACTGCTGATTCTGATTTTATATACACTAGTTTTTTGGTAAGAATTAAGGCTGCGCAAAGAAATTAGTATTATGCAACAAGTATTAAGTAAATTAAAGGTTATAATTTTAAATGCAGTCGTAACATTGTAATGAATCTGAACTCAGAAAGCGTAGTATTTGGAGAGATCGTAAGCTACTCTATTTAGGAAAAAAGCTTCAGTAGTTGAACGGTCGGATGCAGCGAGCTGACAGGTGCTTGCTCTGTGCCTGTGCCCTCTTGCGGTCAATGAACGTATATCTTATTATTTTGATCATCTTTTGTGGTTTGAGCTTAAGCTTACCGCTTGCTGATCCTGGGATCATCACTTCAACTTCACAAGTGGCTTTGTTTACTTACAAAATGGTACATAAAACTTGGATTGTAAACCGCCAGGGAGACGGTGTAAGCTCACTATAGCTTATATTTATATTACATTCTTTGTATACTTACAAAATCACTTTTTAGGCAATTAAATAAATCTTTAACTTGCAAGTTATTTACCTATAATTAATTAATTTTATTTTAATTTTATTATTATATTTTTTTATAATTTAATTTTATTTTAGTTGTCGTAAAAATGTTAGGACTTATGAATTAATAAAACACTTATAAAGTTATAGTTTTCAGCATTATAAATCAATAACCATTTATATTAGTACTAACGGCTCACCCTAGCTTCGCTCGAGTTCGTCCATGAGTACGTTTTAAATAGATATAAACATTTATTAGCCATAAAAATAATAATTTTTTTCGTGAACTTTTCTGATGTTTTAATAGTCTTTGCTGTTCGGGGTGTAGAGAAATCCAACAAAACAACAATCATAAAAATCGATCCAGCAGTTCTCGAATTATAAGTGTTAAATAATGAATATAAAGATAGATAACATTTTTCCTTGTCAATGATAAATATAACTGAATGTGATAATTGCGAAATTTCAAAATAAAATAACATATGTATGTAAGTAGCTAAATACATAATTTATTATTAAAAATTAAGTTGTATCAAAATTTAATTGAGATGCTACCCATCAACGTCTCCGTCCTTCGACTTCTCGAACTTTATTAATTACATCATCTCTTACGAGTACTTTTTATGTTCCGATGTATTATTATGTAAAAAGGTGTGTAAGACCTAAAAATCTGAATTATGTGTCAATTACAATAAACATTGACTGATGATAATATTAAGTAAATGTTAGGAAAGAACAATTATTTAATATTTTCCTTAAAAAATATTATCTATTTACGAAAATACTTTAAAATCTGTGAGAGGTCTTTATCTGCATTGCACATCTGAAATACATCACAACTTTTCAGTAAAGCGTAAAACTGCTATAAGGTAAGGGTAATTTTGTTATGATAATTGTCATTTAGCTTCGATCGCAGTCAGTTATTCTAATTCAAGGCCATGAACAGATAAAAACAATGGACAAAGACAATCTCTTACGAAAAGTAAGTTAAAAGCTTTACAATGACATTGTAGGAAGTGTTTATTTACTGCTTAAACTATAATTGGATAATATATTATGTATTATTTTTATTTATATTCTTTATTTCGTAATAGGTAATTAGATCAAGTAGTTTTAATTAGTAGGTAAAAATTTATAACGTATAACGTATAATTATATGATTAAATAGAAATGTCTGAATAGATAAGAAAAAAAAGATTTCGGTAGAATTTTATGCAAAACGTCACTAAGCGGGGTACAAATAATATAATTATACGATCTCCATTTCAGAATGTAATGTTAAAACAATGCCTTCTGTGTATTTAAAATATCCTTTACTTTATTAGGTATTGTTAAGATTTTATTTTCTTGTAATAACGTGAAAGAAATAGCAATGACCCATTAGCGACGAACAATCGGTATAATGTGTATTGTCTTTCATAATACGTATTTAGCTAACCTATTGAGTCCTCTTATTGTGTTGCCAAAACTAACTTCACATAGATTGCAAAGGCACAAGTAGGTCAGTCTTATTTCTGGCAAAAAATTGCCTTGTAATTGCTATAATTTATTAAATACTTTTGGTCAATCTTCTTTATATAAAGACACTACAGTAAAGAAAAATATTTTTTTGAAAATTCTGCATTATATTTGGCAATGCTTTTTAATTATTCTTTTTAACAATACATACGTTTAATTATTATTCTACTATTGAAATTAAAAAGAAAATCTCAAACATTGTTCTAAAATAGTAATTAAATCGTTACTAACAAAAATATACGTCTACATAAATGTTATTTATATTATGAGCAACATTGATAAAACTACTGGAAAACAAGGATCTCAGTAGAATTGCAAGAACATAGCAGTAGGTATGTATATAATGGCATAAAAATTCAAATAAAAAGTCACTCTCCATTTATTACTAATTGCAATTAAATCTTAAATAACAACAAAAAAAAAGAAACAGATTGAATAAATCAATGAAAGTACTCGCCATTTTACGTGAATGAATGCTCGAGTCACAGGACAAGAGGACGACTCCACAATGATATAAGTGGTCCAATCAGATCACATCACACACTATTCCACCGGATCAAATGCAATACGCACGACTCACGAGTTCACCTCACACCACACGAACGCAAACTGCGCCCGCGCACTTAAGAACACGCGGACTTTTGAAGTAAATGTTCAGACCTACTTTAATCTTTAAACCCATTTGTGAGATCAATTTAACCATTTTAGGATACAAATCAAAATACCTGATACCATGAAGACATCATGAATTTTGTCATTATAACAATAATACACAGTTTGTCAAGACCTTAAGTAAACTATAGTTTATATTTATACTATGATTTTTTATGTATTATAATGGATTTTTTGCAGCATAGAAGTTTAATTATAAAATTTGTATGTTCTATTGTTTTGCAAAAACAAAATAAACCTTTTGTTGGCTGTTATTATTTAAAGCATTTTAAAAAATCTTAACAACATCAAGGTTAAATTTATCCTAGTTTGCCGTGAATTAATTCATTACAGACTGACGGTCTAGTGAAAGTCGAAGGAATCCACTGGATGCGGATGGCTTAAGACCGGTTAGCTTGAATATCTTTGGGGAGGCTATATCCAGCGTCTTTCAGAGATAAAAGGAGGATGAATGGTCAGACATTGTTTTATGCTCAGTTCATATTTATAGCTTTAATCTCAGGAAAAAAGAAAACTTGGTAGTAAGAAGAATGAGGAGGGTCGTTTGTAACGATTAGATTTTGCTGAAGAATAAAATAGATGCCGTAAGTAACAAGCATAAAATTATACGATTAAAAGATTGTGAAAACGACTTTTTGTTGTTTTTTAAAATTAATGGGTACTGCCATCTTAAAAATAAATATGCCATTTTGCTACTATCTCAGAAGACATTATGTATATCAATAAATAATTATTTACGCAATATAGACATAAAAAAATAAGTAATTACTTTAATATAAGTGTTCAACTGGCACACTGAAACCATTAACAAAAAAATTGAATTCAAGTACTTTTAGTAAAAATGTAGTGTAAATTAGTCAAACTTTATTTTAATGATGTGTTGACAGCCACTAACGATAAACATATCTGCTATATGTATCTACTGTTAAGGAGAAATTTAATAGTGAACAAAAAATAAATGAAAACTGTAATGTACTAATAAAATGGTCAAACACAGTTCTTGTCTGCAGTTCGTTACAATTATAATGGAAACAGTGATACAATCGTAGCTTCCAAATAAATAGATACTAAAAATGGAGATTTTATTCCTTAATATATAATGTTAAGATATTTCTCCTGATTTGTATGCATTATTAAATTAAAAAAATATACTTATAGGTACATAATACTTTCTTAGATTTACGCGAATACTTGACATTTTAAATAAAACTATCTTCTCGGATTTTTTCGTGTTTTTTTTTGGTTCCCAAAAATCAAAATAAATTCGCGATAAAATCCGAAAAGATAGTTTTATTTAAGATACTTATACATATATGTATATTCTTTTTTTTAAATATCCAGATATATTATTTATTTATCTGACATGTTCCTGTAAGGTTTGTGAAACGTACGTATATACGTATAATAGATATATTTTTAAATTTCATAATTTTGAATAAATTCTAATAAATACGAATATAATATGTCTAGCCTAATTTTCACAACAGTTTTGAATGAAAGTAAGTTAGCTATTCTCTATGTACACCAGTGTCAAACTTCACGTTTAGAGACGCTCTAATTGAATTTAAGTAATGGACCAGTGTCAAGATGTCACTTAACTTTGTTGCTGCGTCATGCTCTTGAATCACGTTATGATTATTTAAAAGATATTTGTAACGCCGTTTATTTGCTATCTGTATATAAGTTTGAGCTTTACGTTTGGCATTCTTTAACATTTAGTCACATTTACCAATGATGAGCCCCTTTTCTAACAAATATTTATTCATTGAACAGTGTTTATATTTTCAATAAAAAATACGCAAAAAATATAGCGCAGTCTACTTTTCTCAGTCGACAAGCTCTTTGCTTCGCCACGCTCTAATTGAATTCAACAAATGGAACGGAGCAGCTTGTGTCACCGTCTTAGCGAGCTTGGTATGTGCGTTGACGCAAGGCCTGACGTCGTATACAATTTTAATAAGAACAACTTGACATAAACATTATTTAGGACTTTGATATATGGTTGTTAAATAACTTTTATATAAAAGTTTAACAAACAATGTTTATAATAACTAGTCGTATGATTAGCTTAAACTCGATTCATTCTCTCTATAGTAGGGGAACTCACTCAAGAGGAGATTTTGGGATTTACTCAAGCTCTGGCTCTCAAGCTAGTTCTCTGTATAAAATAGCGCGTTTAGGGCATTCGGTGAAAATATTTAAAAAATATTTTGATAGTTAGAAATACTTAAAGCCATCAGATCAAGGTGCGGTAGGTTAATTACGTGCTAAAAAGTATGCAATTCAATAACCTACCGATTTCCACAAGCCGAATAAACAAAAATCGTCCATAAACTCAATGCCCACCACACCTTAATCTGACTGACGCGCTTGGTAGTCCAAAACCGGACCACTGCATTCTCTCATATCCTAAAAAACAATTCTCATACACATATACACTATTTATCCTGTTTTTTAGAATAAAATACACACATATACATAAAACGTCAATAAAATAAATATTGTAGATAGATGTGGCATAAAACAAAGCATTTTATTGTTACATTATTTCATGCTACGGAACCATCGGTATGTGAGTCAGTCTCGTACTTGTCCGTTTATTTTAATTTACCAGTAACGGAACGCATATTTAGCAGTATGTATATAATGGATGTAAAAATATATTAATAAAAATTGAACAAAACAAAATTTCTTTGTCATCTCCCCTTATGATAACAATCAACACATTTTCGCACTGTTTAATTGAAACTACATACACGCTTTTTCATTAAAATTTGTATTAATTTACATATGAAAAGATTTTATGGTCTTTTTAATTTGCATAACAAATATTGATACACATGACTCTATATGGAGCTGTTAACCCTATTGAAACATGTACATAGGTACACCTGCGCTGGTTTAAAGACCTAACTTATTTAGTTCAATGTTATTTGCATAGTTCTATGTTAAAGAATCTTGCTTAATATATGACTTTATAGACAGTTTTGCTAATTCGTGTTAATTAATTCATTTTTCTGTAAACTTCAGGTACAGTTGAGCTCAAGATCTCAACTTTTATTGGATTACATGTACAATCCACTGATGCATATTATTGCAAAAAATGGAGTTTAAAAATAGGTAGGAAATATATATTTAGATAGATTTTTATTTAATTTGCTTATATTATGTAAAAACAACTTTTGCGTAGCTTGAGAGATATTGTTGAGCCAATGAACTTGTGAAAATATAATATATAGCTATACCTACTGACGTCTTAGCCCTGTCTCTCTGACATTTTTCTTCCATATCTAATGAATTTTATATTTGGATGATGCAATTACAGACGTTTGTTATCTATACATATAATAAAATTGTAACTAAGCCGAATCTGTACATTAAATATTTTTTGGAAAATCTTATTGAAATAAACATTATTATCGATACAGAGGCGTAATCTATAGTTTTTAGAATTTTTGTCTGTCTGTCTGTCCCTCTGTTACAATATCACAGAAAAACCACTGGAGGGATTTTGATGAAATTTGGTATGGTGATAGCTGGTTATCCGGGTCAACATAGTGTTGGTTATGCGCGTACATACATTTCGGTGATTATTTTTTATTTATATATGTAGATATGTAGATTAATAAAATTCATTGTATTCAAGAAAATAAAGTGAGGTAATAAAGTTCAATGAGGCAGTGATAGCCCAGTCAGTGGTAACGCGCTTGCTTGGGAAACCGAGTGAAGCGGGTTCAAATCCCGGGTCTCGCACCTCTGACATTTTCATGTACGAATCATTTCCAACATGATTACCATATATCTTAATGGTGAAGGAAACGTTAAGAAACCTGCATGTTTGAGAGAACCTAACAAGTTTTCAAAAGACGTGTTTTGAGTCCGCCAAGCACTTGGTCAGCGTGGTGGACTATAGCCTGATCTCTCTTGCATTGAAAAGAGGCCCGTGCCCAGCAATGGGACGCTGATTACAAGAAAACAAAAAATTCGAGCACTCTCTAAATTATCTGCAAAAATAAAATTTCAGTATTAAAATTATATTAATAACGTCAACATCCTCAAACGTTGAAGCATCATACCTGAGAGATAATTGAACTGGAATGACTGGATAATATAAAATATATTACAATTAGTTGAGCCTTGTCCCATTTACAAACATTAAAGCACAATCACTTGTAAGTAACATAAGGTAAACCTGGCCGTTGTTTTTAAAATACTTTGATTATCTTATGTAAATAATAAAATATAGTAAGTATGAATTATAATAAACATATAAACATTAATATTGATGTACTTACATAGACATAAAAGGTTAACTTCGTAGTTATTAAAGATAATTCTACCGTTGCGTATTCCTGCAGGTTCTACTTAGCCGCTGTAACTCTATAATTAGCTTACGAGACGTTATGGGAAAAATGATTATTTTTTATTATGAAACCTTTCGTATGTCATTATTAAAATTTTATTTGTGTCCGAATTCAAATCAAACGTCCTTGACTTAAGATTCTTACGCACTGAAAACATGTAACATCTATTTGTAATGCTTCATTTAGCAACATATTTTTTCATTCCAGTCACAATGAATTTTGTGTCAGTCACCAACATAATGCTAAGTTCGACTGCGAAGTAAATAATGTGATGCAACATTAGCGAGTGCGACTCGCCATAGTGCAGTTATGTGAGCACGAGTTACACAACACCTTTCGAACGTTAACAATAAAAATAATATGGCTAAAATGACGCTATATACCTACTATCTAGCTTAACAAACCTTCAACTATATTAAATTTT